TGTTAGCGACAGCCTCCTGCATGGGGGGTTAGGGTAAGGTTTTCGCTTTATTTTTACATTTATCGATCACAGCGCGATGTTTTCGTCGCGCTGTGATAACGTCACGTACGCGCTTTCGTCGAGCGCGCTTTTGTCTACCGCGGTTTTGTGGTGGAACCCTGAATTCACACTTTTCCTTTTATTTAATCTTACTTTATATGATGTCATGTTTACTGTTGTGAAACCTTCTAGTAAAAAAAAAAAAACTTTAAAAATACAGTTGCAGTTTCCTTTCTCCAAAGCTGTTTTAACAATACCCTGAATTTCTCGGAGAAGAAATGTCTTTGCCGCACCCGAAGAGAATTTAATATACATTGTTCTTGTTGCTTTATACCCTACACAGAGAGTATCTCCCCACAATTCTTAAATAAATGGGGGTTTGAAAGTCACAATTCCACTGTGATCAAACTTTGTTCTCGGTAATGCATTAAAACTCATGCGTTTCTTTCCTCTTCAGAGCCTGCTTGGAGCCTTCTGTACATCTTAATTTCAAGCATTCCTGCTTTGCTTCTGTTGATCACCATCGCCGTTTTTATCTTTTGGGTTTACGCAAAAAGGCAAGTGGCATTATTATACAAGCTGGGAACAGTTTTGAGGGCAACGACTCAAGGCCAAGGAAGAGAGAGGAGAAGAAATAGAGATGATACTGTTGTCTGTGCACAGCTGAGACGCTTTTCTTGTTGGAACAGGTGTTGGCTAAGAAAAGCATCCTGTCCCAAGGGGAAAAAAAAGAGATTTTTGAGATCCTACAGGAAATAATAGGAGTCTTGCAAACTAAGCATAGGGAAGGCCAACGCATTTTGCTCAAGGAATTTCGTTCCTTGAATTTAGATCCATACAATCCCTAAGCTTTAGAGCAGGGGTCGGCAACGTTAAACACTCAAAGAGCCACAAAGATCCTAACCGGAAGTCCCCCTTTCAATTCTGGAGCCGACCGGAAGTCCGGTTCCCCCACACACACACCATAGAATCTCCTCCTTGCGCGGCGTTTTTTTTCCTCTGCCAACCAGAAGTCTAGTTCCCCCTACCATAGAGTCTCCTCCTAGTCTGGCGAAGAGCCGAGGTGGCGCAGTGGTTAAATGCAGCACTGCAGGCTACTTCAGCTGACTGCTAACTGCAGTTCGGCGGTTCGAATCTCACCGGCTCAAGGTTGACTCAGCCTTCCATCCTTCCGAGGTGGGTGAAATGAGGACCCNAGAAAAATAGGGACCACCTTTGGTGGGAAGGGAACAGCGTTCCATGCGCCTTCGGCGTTGAGTCATGCCAACCACATGACCACGGAGACATCTTTGGACAGCACTAACTCCTTGACTTTGAAACGGAGATGAGCACCGCCCCCTAGAGTCGGGAACGGCTAACACGTATGTGTGAGGGGAACCTTTATCTTTGCTTCTCGCACGGTGGTTTTAAAGTTCCTGTAATCAAATGTAGGATTTGGGGATTGGTTTTTCAGCATGCGTGCCGTCTTACAATTGTTTTCCTTCTCTTTGCAGAAAAGCCAACAGTTGTCCCTGAATTGGCTGCTTCTCAAACAGGTAACATTTGGTGTTAGGGAAAGGGGGGGGAGGTTGCGACTTTTGCTGGGAGGAATGCCAAATCTAGCACAAATAACAAACAATGCCAAAAAAAAAATGCAAAAGAAATGGTTAGAGGCGTGAGAAAAACAATGAGGCATATTAGGGAGATGTAGATTGGAGTCAACGTTTAACCATGGAGCCTAGGAGCCTTCTCGTGACTTCAGAAGGTCCCTGCATTCCAGCCAGTCTTCCTCACAAGGTTGTTGTTATTGTTTATGGGGAAAGGAGGAGAGATTTGTCCCCACTCTGGAGTTTTCCTCCACTCCAGGGGTGAAATCTAGCAGGTTCTGACAGGTTCTAGAGAACCGGTAGCAGAAATTTTGAGTAGTTTGGAGAATCGGCAAATGCCACCTCTGGCTAGCCCTAAAATGGGTGGGAATAGAGATTTTGCAGTATCCTTCCCCTGCCACGCCCACCAAGCCACACCCACAGAACTGGTTGTAAAAAAAAATTGAATTTCACCACTGCTCCACTCCCAAAGGAAAGACAGACTTATCCATTAAATTAGTGTTTCCCAACCTTGTCAACTTTTAATATGTGTGGACTTCAACTCCCAGAATTCCCCCAAGCCAGCTTGGCTGTGGGGATTCTGGGAGCTGAAGTCCACACATCGTAAAGTTTGCAAAGTTGAGAAATGTTGTTTTAAACAATAAATAAGCAAAGCTCCTTCTTTTGAACTGATGACTCTCAATTACTTTTTCAAATGTTGGATGCTAATTGATCCTTTTCTAACTGATTGGCCCTCAAAATGTGGATGCTTCGCCCAAATTTGTGTCTTATCCTAGTCCTAAATCCTCTTCCATCATTCTTACGGCCTCGTTAATCTTGAATTATCCAAATCAACTACTTACATTATCGAGACAACATCCTTAAATCGTAACACTCGGATTTTTTCCCTAGGGTACATAACAAGGTCTTCAGCATTCACATCCCCAGAACCCCCCATGCAGGAGGCTGTCGCTAACAAAACCCTCCCAGAGGCCAAAGGTACCAACCCCCTCCCCTACAATTTCTTGTAATTTTAAACAAAGTTTTTTTTAATTTTTTGTTAACATAGTTTAAAAAATTTATAAGCAAAGTGTTGTCCAGGTTCCCTCCCCCCTCTTTACATCTTCTATTTATGCATAGTACATTTTACATCTTATTTCCATTTTACATTTCAGTCATCTTATTTTCATTCCATAATCTCCCGCTTAATTTTAATTTCTTCTTAATGTATTGACAATATCCTTATTTGCCTCTCCAAGTTAATCACATTTAACGTATTATTCCATCTGTTATTCTGTTTAACAAACATATATTCTCAAATTTAGTTTTATATATTACCCATTTCATTTGATTAGTTATCCACAAGTAATAGTTTTAATCTATTTCCCACACATTATATTAAACATATACCTTTGGCTATGTTTACTAAATTTCATTCTACTCTACAAACAAATCCTTCTCTTTCTTTTCTCCTTCCAGCCATTTTCTCTTAGTATCTCAGGAACTTCATCTCTTGTAATTTTAATGAGGATGGAAAAAGAATAAGTTTGTTATCGTTGTGGCAAAGAAAGTTGGAAGTCTTTTCTTTATGTATCTTTTCTTATTCATATGTCTTAATCACGTTTCTTGAGTTCTGAATTCCGTGACCCGTCAAAACCGCGGTCCACAAAAGCGCGCTCGACGAAAGCGCGCATTTGACGTCATCACA